TTTTTTGGAGAGGTTTTTGCTATAGGATGTGTGTGCTCACCAGAAAGACAGAAAGCGAGAAATCACCCCCCCAGGGGGATAGCCATGCCGCAGTCCCTTCTCCTCCATTCTCCTCTCGGGATCTTGGGCACGCACGTACATGTGCCCGGCATGAGTTTAAGCCACCGGGTCCGGGACTCAAACTATGGTCTACTTGGGAGTCCAGTGACATAGCCATTACGTCAACTGCTGGTCCCATGGGGCAAATTCTTAACACAGCATCTGTTACAAGCATGCTCCTGCAGGTTAGGAGTACAGGAGAGAACCAAACCTACTGAATTCCTGCTTTCATTGTACTGGGGCTTCAGCAATGAGGCTGCCATGAAAGTACCAATCACACAAATGGTTACTTCGTTGCAATGCAGTATGTTCAATGAAGGAGTTCAGGGCACTGAGAAAGCATCTAACAAAGTAGGCTGATTGTGTCTGGGCTGGAGGAGGAGTTTGATAAGGAAAAGATGCTGTTGCTGAAAGTTGAACAGAGACTAGAAGTTGCTAGGTATAGTAGAGAGAAGAATGTTGCAGACAAGGGTTGCAAACATGTGAACACCCCAGGCCTGGTAAAGGGCAGAGCAGGTTTGAGGCGATGCTGAGAGAAGGCCAGAGTAGCAGAAGTCATGGCAGGAAGGAAGGATGTGAAGAACATGGTGTCAGATGAAGTTAGAAGAGATGGCATTTCCCACTAGACCCATCATTCCTTTCAGGATGGCATTCATTCACTGTTTTTTTTTTTTTTTTGGAGAGGTTTTCACTATAGGGTGCGTGCGTTCGCCAGACAGAGACAGAGAGACAGAAAGCGAGAAATCACCCCCCACGGGGGATGGTCACGCCGCAATCCCTTCTCCTCCATTCTCCTCTCGGGATCTTGGGCATGCACGCACATGCGCCCGGCGTGAGTTTTAAGCCACCGGGTCCGGGACGCGAACCGCGGTCAACTATGTGGGAGTCCAGCGACATAGCCATTACGCTAACTGCTGGTTCCCTTCATTCACTGCTCTTTAAACAATACTGATGAGCATGTGCTGTGCTCCACACTGTCCTAGGTGCTGGAGATAAAGCAGCCAGCAAATACTCTTGCCCTGGTTGTGGAGAGATGACCGATAAGCAAGATGTGTAAAATACCAGTCATTGATATGATGGGGAAATTAAAGTAGGAGACGGGATTAGGGACTGTTGTCTGAGTGTGACTTACATAGGGCTGCCAGAGAAGTCCTCCCTGGGAGGTGACATTTGAATGGTTACCAAAAAGCTAGAGAGCAGGTTTCATGACTCCCAGAGGGAGGGAGACTCAGTACAGACAGCCTGAAGCAGAAGTGTGTCTGCAAGGTTTAGGAAAGAGCCAGGAGGTCTTGGTGGCTAGAGCAGAGAGAGCCAGAGGGAGAGCACTGGGAAGTGAGGTCAGGGAATACGTGAGTGGACAAGTACCTGCTGAAGCCTTCACATGCAGTTCTTTGAATATCCACTTAGTG